AAATTAAGTTTTTGCTGTGCTATCTTATTATTAGGATGCTGTTGTAATTTAGTTTCTTCTATCTTGATTTCTTCCAATAAGTCATTCCTGATTCTTTGTTTCTCTTTTTTTCTCTTTGCCACGTATGCAATGGTTAGGCCCCTAATATATGCTTTTGTCGTGTCCCATAGATTTTGTAACGACGTTTGGTCCTTTGTGTTAATTTGGAAAAATATCTTAATCTCTTTTTCCATCATTTGTAGATACTCTTTTTCCTTTATAATACTTGTATCCATTTTCCATCTTTTTTGTTTTCGGGAGCCTTTCCAAATTATTTTGATGGGGTTGTGGTCAGCCCATATGTTAGGCATAATTTCTACGTCGTGTGTTTCTTTACTTAGTTGGGGTGTCATCCAGGCCATATCCAATCTTGACCACGATTGATGTGGGCCAGAAAAGTATGTGTACTGTTTGGTTGTAGTATTTAATTCTCGCCAGGTGTCATGTAGACTCATTTCTTGTACCAGGTTCTTAAATGTTTGTGGCAGTGTCTTCCTTTTGATTTTATTCTTCCTGTTACTATAGTAGTCTTCTCGTGTGTTGACAATTGCATTAAAATCTCCGACAATGCAGATATTTTCATAATCCAGCTCTTTTAATTTATCGTGTAATTTTTTATAAAAGTTTATTTGGTTTCCATTTGGGGCATAGATGGCTACTAACAGTATTATTTTTGTTTCCAGTTTTACTTCTATTATTAAGACTCGACCCTCTTTGTCCACATATATCGGCTTTGTTCTTATATGATCTCTAACATATATTACCACTCCCCTTTTTTTACAGTCGCCTAAGGATGTGTACATTACTCCTAATTTTTTATTTTCGAGTAATTTTTTCTGTTGTTTTTTTATGTGTACCTCTTGTAAGGTGATTATATCTGCTCCTAATTTTTGCAGTTTAGTGAATATCTGATGTCTTTTGCTTGGTGAATTTAGACCATTTATATTTATAGAGATGAGTTTTAGTTCTTCTTCCATTCCTGGTGTTGTTTATTTGTCTGCTATTTTGAGTTTTGATGTGTTTCTTGTGACTCTTTGTGTGATCCCCGTCATTTCCTCCTTCCCCAACTTTCCCTTCTTCCGTTCCTTGTCCTCCTTATTTATTGGTTGCTCTTCTTGGTCACTGGGGTTTGAATCTTCTCTGCCTCTTCTGCTCTCCTGTTCTCCTTCATATCCTAAATGTTGGTCTGCGAAGTCCTGGGCTTTTTCTATGGTGTCGATTCGAAATTTTCTTCCTTCCCAAGAAATGAGTACTCCTTCTGGTATAAGCCATCTAAATTTAATCTTGAGTTTATTTAACTGTCGGGTTAAGAAGTTATATTCTCTTCTCCTATCCCTGGCCCTTCTCGGTACTTGTTTTAGCGTTAGAACTTCCCTCCCTTTGTACATGACTGTCTCCTCTCTCATCTTTCGGTATATTTCTTCTTTCATTGTTTTTTTTGTAAATCTGATGTGTACTTCTTTAGGGAGTTTGTTTCTTCTGGCATAGTTTGTGAAGGCCCTGTAAATTTCGTCGATACCACCTCTTATTTCATCTTTATCCTTATGTGTCGCCTCTGCCAAGATTCCAACCATAATTTCGCCCAAGTCTTCCTCTCTCTGTTCTTCTATATTTTGAAATCTTAAGTAGAAAGATGCCTTTTCCATTTCAAGAAATGTCAGTGCATCTTCTGTGTCTCGACTTCTTGTTGCTTGTTGGTTCTCCATCTGTTCCAACCTGGTAGCTGTGGCTTCCGCCTTTTCCTCAACTTTATGGATTCTCTGTTCGTTTTCGGTTATATTTTGTTGAATTTTCTCTATTTTTTCATCTATATTTCTAATCTCATCTTTAATTTCCCGTACATCCAATCGCATTTGTTCATGGTTCTTTTTCGTTTCATCATGATTCAGGATCATCTTATCTTCCATCCTTTTCATTCCCTCCTGAATCATTGCAAGGGCAGCTTGGATGTTTTGAATACCTATGTTGGTCTTTTCTTTATCTGTTGTTTCCCCTGTCTTCTGCTGGACCAGGGAAGCCACCAATAGTGTTTGGGTTGGGGGTATTTTCTTGGTTGATTTAATAGTAGTTGGTATGTTTGAGGTTGCCATATCTATTATGCTTATTATTTTTGCCCACAATTTCATAAAATTCTCACGTCTAATGTTTATAACCTGGATGCAGGATTATTTTTACAAGGTTTTTTCAGAGTATTTCTGATTAGTAATACGATATTGGGAAAACAGCAAAAAGGAAGGCGGGGTGGGGAAGGAAGAGAAGGGGGAAACAACGGGGAAAAAATAGGCTTCTAACAATTCATTAGTTACCTTATTCTTCAATTACTTACAAAATAAAATGTATTTTATTATAATAGTTCTAAGATAGTATCAATATCAATTTAATTATTATAATTCTATCTAATTATTTAAAATCATTTACTGTATATGAATAAATTAATTAAATATAATTAAAGATAATATGCTATAATTGTTTAATTAATTTCAAATAGACAAATTAGACAAACTACTTCAGAGAAAAACTAATAAGTTATTAAAGGTTATTTTCCGGGTCTAGTATCTTATGATATATAGTAGAATAGACTTAAATCGAGCTAAGCATATATATATTGTCCATTAATTATAGTCTCTTATCTTTCTTGGTGTTATGTAAACTTATCTTTCTTCCAACCAAATACGGTTCCAAAGGTCTGAGTCACCCTATTCACTTTAATTATTCCACAATCCAATTTAATCTATAGTCCTCTGTATTCCTGTTGTTAGAATCCACATCCGATCCCAAGAGTGTAATGTTGTATCCTCTATTTAAGTCCTTATCATCTGGTTCATCAGGTATTAGTCAATATTTAAATTGTTCAATCCAAACAGTTCAGTCTCTAGTAGTCAAATAATCAAAGTCCCTCATACTTTGTATCAGTTTTGTATCCTAATCTTCGCAAGAAGTATTACTAAAAGATAGCTTGTATAAATCCACTCCAATCATAGTTTCTGCTGTGGTGCGGAGAGCTGCGAAGGCCTAGCCTGAAAAGGTAAGGGTGATGGCAGGGGATGCAGAAGAGGCTGGGCCAGAGACAGAGATAAACAGAAAGAGACATAGAGAAATACAGAGAGACGGGGGGGGGGAGAGAGAGAGACACATACAGAGATACAGAGAGAGAGGGTGGGAGAGAGAGAGAGACAGAAAGAGATACAGGGGGGGGGAGAGAGACATAGAGAGATACGGGGGGGAGAGAGAGACATAGATACAGAGTGAGAGAGAGACAGAGAGATACAGAGAGAGGGGGAGACACATAGATACGGGGGGGAGAGAGAGACATAGATACAAAGAGAGAGGGGGAGACAGAGAGGGAGGATTTTGTGGTTCCCATTGTTTTTTAGCAACCGGTTCTCTGCCCTAATCACCAGCTGGGTAGGCGTGGCTCGGGGGGCTTTCATGTGACTTATGAAAGTGAGTGACGTCGAGTTGGCCACGCCCACCAAATGTTTGTGGAGACTTTGGGATTTCAGCCTCACTCTTTTAGCTCAGCGGACGCACCAGATTGGGCCACAGCAATGCGTGGCCGGGTACAGCTAATTACATATAAACCAATACCCAAATGTTCACCATGACAATGTTCTGGTAAACTAGTATAGCATAGTATACTATGTACACATAGTATACATAGCATAGTATAGTCCTAGGACAAAGTCAATCAATCATATGGCAGTCAAGCAATGCCAATCTTGTAACTGAAATGGTGATCAGTTCATGAAGCATCTGTAGTGATCAGCAGGAAAAAAGGTGTAACGAGATTCATTGTACAGTTTTCAGCAGTGTGGAGAACTATTCTCAGCATCACATGCATTCTACTATTGTTTTGTCTTTTTTTGTATTATATAGACATCATTAGTACTATTATATTGCATTGGTCCATATTGTCACTACCAGTTCAGGCACTTGACCCAGCAACCCCATTGCTATAGGGGGCAAAAGACTCAAAAGACAACCTACAGAGTTACCCCTGCATGGCCCCATGGGAGTCTGGCAACCAATCAGAATATAAACTCAAATTCAAATCCCAACAGAGGATATAAATCTCTCTCTCTCACCCATGTACCTTTTTGCCTCAAAACCATGTGGTCCTGTTCACCATTAAACCATCTTTTCAGGCAGTCTCCCTGTTTCCACTGTCTTTCTCCCCACCTGGAAATGAACCCAGATGGACATTTCTTTCATCAACGTCTGCATTAGTATTCATCAGTTGTATTTTTTCTTATGAATATTTTGATGCTGCTAATTGCCAGATATCTTTTCAGAGTATGGACACCGAAAGGGATAAAGTAAATTTATATGTAATTAAATTTTACTTTCTTGTTTAATATTGAATAGTGCATAAGTCCTATGAATCCAGTACATTTCCAAGTTGAGAAAAAACTATGACTTGTACTTGGTTAAAACAATACTGTACATAAGGTCCCTCAACTCTTTTTCTTTCTCCCTATTTCCCCACTCCCTCCACCAAAGTAGTCACCGCCACAAACTCTGAGCATCAAAATAAACCAACGAGTGCCTCAGTGTACTGCCCTACCGGAAGGAAAACTATTTTTTTCTGACGTAGGAATTCATTTAAATATTTTTTCAAGAAAGGCTAAAATCATAATTTCATAGCTCTATCCTTTTAATGCATTATTCTGCTACTCTTACTTCATCTTCACAAAGAAAAATACCGGCACAACATTAGGCTACTAAATTGATCTCGCCTTCCCTAAGTGCCGAGATGCCAATAATAGAGCGCCAGGTTCCGAAAGAAAAAGAGCATAAAAGTGAGGGCGCATGTCCAGGCAACTCGTTCAGGGGAAGCCCTTGCAGAAGGTCCGTCGCAAAGATGGTCTTTTAATGTGCGAGCGCATGCTCAGGCATAGATCTAGACCAGGCGTGAGAACGAAAGGATTTAGAAAAGGGGACAGGCCACAATTTTGCGCAAGCGCAGGGAGAACGCTAGGAGCTCTTTGGACGGTGAGTCGTTCAAAAGAAGCGACGCTAGTAAAGCGTCGCTGAGCGAAGGGAACGCGTGTAGCCACGCGCGCGCCGAAAAGAGAAGATAAAGGCGAGTTCTCGGTGGAATGAGTGGCGCCTCTGGCTGGCTAACGGTGGCTGGAACTGGTCGCAACTTCCACAGGACGGGGTGGAGGAGAGCCAGCAAAACATCTCTGATTTCATTCTTGCTGTTCTTCGACTCAGCCTTGTTGCCTCGCCCGGTGTTGTCGCAGGGAGTATGAAAGTTCCGCTTTCGCCCCAGCCCCGAAGCAGCGGCTCTAGCCGATTACTATTTCCTCTGGACAGGAGGAACGGCCGCTATTGCTCACTGCGGTGAGAACTGGTGAGGTGGCCGGCAGCGCCTGAAGTCGAGGAGAGGCACAGGCTCTATCTGTGGCGTTATTTGTCCGGCCCTGAGGGGCGCTCCTAGCCTTCTATGCTGTGTCTCACTGTTCCTGCTGTCGAGCCTCGTGAAGGGATTCTGCAAAGGCGAAACCCGATAAGACATTGTCATCCTCGGTTACTCCTCCAACTAAACTTTCTCTAACTGTAGAGTTTTTTCTTCCCCCAGAACTTGGATTGCAATCCCTGGATTCTTTGTACGGAATTTGTATGTTTCGGCGGCTCATGATGACAATGTTTTGTTCCTCAAAGACTGGTGTTAGTTTATAGTTAGTTAGTTTATAATCAGTTATCTTTGGTGAAGGAAGGAAAACAAGACATTCCTCCACCCCCTTTCTGATGTGCAGAAAACTTTCTGTTTTATTACAATTTCTTGAGAAATTGTGAACCCTTTACACAGAATTCTCAAGAGCAGGAAAGTTTGGGTCGAATATACAATGGAGCATGGCAAAATGGATTATTTCTGTGAACAAGTACAACAAAAAGATGTGGGCTGCAGGTTGCAAGTTGGCCAAGAATTTCTGGAATATTTGAATGATCCCAGCATTTCTACTGATCTTGAGCAGGATCAGCAACGCCTTGATAAAGTAATCGATGAATTAACAAGATGGGTTAACTCTAGTAATTATAAGGTAATAATTGTACCTGATATAGATGTAATTCTGATTCTTGTTAGATATTGTGTTGCTCTTTCACTAAGCTCTCTGTCAGTGAAGTGAATTTTTCAAAAATTGGATTTTTATTGTGTTCATTTTATCCTTTTACTTTGTAAAAATCCAGTTTTAACTCACACTCAAATGTGTACATTCAATTGTTAGTAGCGAAGTTGTGTCCGACCCATCACAACCCCATGAACAACATTCCTCCAGGCCTTCCTGTCCTCTACCATCCCCCGTAGTCCATTTAAGCTAACACGGACTGCTTCAGTGACTCCATCCAGCCACCTCATTCTCTATTGTCCCTTTCTTCTTTTGCCCTCAATTGTTTGCAGCATTAGGCTCTTCTCCAGTAAGTCCTTCCATCTCATTAGGTGGCCAAAGTATTTGAGTTTCATCTTCAGGATCTGGCCTTCTAAAGAGCAGTCTGGTTCAATAGACCAAGTATAAATATAACATTGGGTGAAATAATCCTAATATATGTGGGTTATTATTTTTCTTGAGAATACAAGTAGTTCTCAATGTATGACTGTATTGGAGCCTGTCCAATAAGCCATGATAGTCCTAAAATGGTCTGGTTATATAATTGTTCTGATTTTATGACTTTTTTTGAAGCAATCATTAAGAGAACCAATAGTATGTAGTTTTACAAAAAAAAAGGAAGTAAGTTGGTTTACAGGTCATACTCACAATGGGAAGCTGCAAATAGCTGTAAATGTAGACCATTTATGAAGCACCTGAAGTTTTGATCACATGACTGTGAAGAACCTCAACTATCAGAACTTCAAATCCAGGTGATAAGTAGTCCCAGGTAGATCTGTAATAACTTCAGATGGCCACTAAGTAATAAATTGAGGACTACTTGTATTACATTCATTTTCCTTATGGATTGACTATAAAAACTGCATGTTGTCATGTTAGAACTGTAATCCTTGCATATAATTTATTTAAGACTCTACTTGAACTTGGTAGAATTTGCAATCCATTAAACCAGAAACAAAGTACATTTTAGTCTAAAATTTTATATTTTTGCAATCAATGTAGTTACTTGGGGATATAGTGTTTCCAGAGGAGTCAGATATTTATTTAATAAGGATTTTTCATTTGTTAAAGAAGTCACTTTAATAGCTTTAATATATTCCCATTAAAACGTAAATAGCAACAAAAATACTTTAAATAATATTAGATTGTAGACTATTCTATTTTGTGTTGTAGAAAATTCAAAATGACTCATACTTCAGATTTTCTAAGCAGATTTTTCTTGGTTGCCAGAATAGAAGTATTGATTTAGACACATTTAAAAAAAACCTCTGAGATTATCATAGAAAGCTTCAGGATATTATTGTATTACTAGTAATAGAATATGTAGTTCAGTAGTATTGAGTGCTATCTTTTTGTTTACATTTTCATCATTTGGTGGCAGTATTGCAGTACAATTCAGGTTTCTATTGATTCAAAGAATACTCCAGAGATTAAGTTATATGTATATCACATAGATCACATAGTGAATAATTGACTCAAATTTTGAACATTATTAAACCTCTTGGAAATAAATGTAATGGTAATTTAGTGGGTGTTGTAAATACATTAATGAAAAAGACATTCTCAATCTATTTTAATATTTAAAATACTTTATTTATTTGGAATAACTATTTCCCAATTCTGTATCTTATTACTGTTAATTGACTTTTTGAAAGTCAAATTGTAAAACCTTAATCTAGAAGACAGCAATGCAGCAAATTTTAATTACAATAATGAAATTCTTGTTGTATTTACATAATACAACATACCATTATGTAAATAACAGATGTAAATAACATGATTCGTGTCATTTGTTTAGTGACATTATTATGGATGGTATACTCCCCTATTTAATTATTTATTATTTATTTTTTATTTTTCATATTTGTATACCGCCCTACTCCCGAAGGACTCAGGACGGTGAACAGCCATAATAAATACAAATACATATAGAAGTTAAAAACTATTAAGAAACAGATTAAGTAATTTAGGCTCAAAGATTAAAAACATCCAAATTTATCTAAAGAGGTTTAAAACCCAATTTAAAAGCCAGTTTAAAAGCCAATTAAAAAGGGAGAGTTAGGCCAGACCAGCTTGTTGGAATAGAAATGTTTTCAGGGCACGGCGGAATATGCGTAAGTCTTGGATGTTTCGTAACTCCGGGGGAAGCCCGTTCCAGATGGTAGGTGCCCCCACAGAAAAGGCTCTTCCCCTGGGGGCCGTCAGACGACATTGTTTGGCCGACGGCACCCTGAGGAGTCCCTCTCTATGGGAGCGAACTGGTCGGTGAGAGGCTATTGGTGGCAGGAGGCGGTCTCGTAAGTACCCTGGTCCTGAGCCATGGAGCGCTCTAAAGATAGTAACCAAAACCTTGAAGCGCACCCGGAAGACCACTGGGAGCCAGTGCAGCTCGCGCAGGAGGGGGGTTACATGAGAGCGCCACATTGCTCCCATTACCACCCACGCGGCCGCATTCTGGACCAGTTGGAGCCTTCGGGTGCTTCTCAAGGGGAGCCCCACGTAGAGAGCATTACAATAATCCAGGCGTGAGGTGACAAGGGCGTGAGTGACCGTGCGTAACGAGTCCCGATCCAGAAAGGGATGCAACTGGCGAATCAGGCGAACCTGATAAAAAGTCCTCCTGGCTACGGCCGTCATATGCTCTTCAAAAGACAGCCGTGAGTCCAGGAGGATGCCGAAGTTGCGAACCCCATCTGTGGGGGCCAATGACTCGCCCCCAATAGTCAGAGATGGCGCCAACTGACTATATCGGGACGACGGAAACCACAGCCACTCGGTCTTGGATGGGTTGAGTCTGAGTTTGTTCCTCCCCATCCAGATCCGTACGGCCTCCAGGCACCGGGACATCACCTCGAGGGCATCATTGGGGTGGTCTGGGGTGGAGATGTACAGCTGGGTGTCATCAGCGTACTGATGGTACTTCACCCCAAAACCACGGATGATCTCACCCAGCGGCTTCACATAAATGTTGAATAGAAGGGGCGAGAGGACCGATCCTTGTGGCACCCCACATATAAGGGGCCTCGGGGTCGACCTCTGCCCCCCTGTCAACACAGACTGCGACCGGTCAGAGAGAAAGGAGGAGAACCACTGTAGAACAGTGCCCCCCACCCCCAACCCTTCCAACCGGTGCAGCATGATATCATGATCGATGGTATCAAAAGCCGCTGAGAGGTCTAGTAGGACCAGGACAGAGGAGCAACCCCTGTCCCGAGCCCTCCAGAGATCATCAACCAATGCGACCAATGCTGTCTCTGTGCTGTACCCGGGCCTGAATCCCGACTGGAACGGATCTAGATAATTCGATTCATCCAGGTACTGAGGCAGTTGTCGTGCAACCACACTCTCAACAACCTTTGCAATAAAGCGAAGGTTGGAGACAGGACGATAATTTGCTAATACAGCTGGATCCAGGGAGGGCTTCTTGAGGAGGGGCCTCACCACCGCCTCTTTCAAGACGGTGGGAAAGACACCCTCACTCAAAGAAGCATTTATAATCTCCTGGAGCCAGCCTCGCGTCACCTCCCGGGAGGCCAGTACCAACCAGGATGGACACGGGTCCAATAAACATGTGGTTGCATTTAGTCTGTTCAGTATCCTGTCCACGCTTTCGGGAGTCACAGGATCAAACTCTTCCCAAATAATATTCTCAGGACCTGCCCCTGTCATCTCCTCTGGATCAATCCAGTCAGAGTCTAGCTGTTCACGAATCTGAGCAATTTTGTCATACAGATATTGTACAAAATGTGGAGGATGATTTCTTCGTCTGCAGGCGGCTAGACTTTGGGAAAAGAAAAAAGAAAAGGGGAACCACAACGGATCTCTTATAATTGGGATAGCATTAACTTAAAAAGAATAAAATGGCGCAGGAATTAGAGAAGGAACAAATTGATGTATTTGACTTGGAACGGAAATAAATAAAATAATTAAAATGCTGCATGGAGGACAAAATTTGAGGACATTGAAGCTGAAATGAAATATACGCAAGCAGACAAGAAAATGAAGAAATGACACAACGGCTGAAAATGAAGACAAAGACAACGTGATTAAATATGAATAAGTAATGTGCAGGCGGATAGTAATAATAAAAGGAGGCTTTTAGAGACTATATTGTGAATAACAATAGTTTTAAAGATAGGACACTGGGATAGTGTGATAGATGAGATAGGACACTGGGATTAACAGTGAAAGAATTGGGGAATATGGGGTAAGATAGAAAAGTCCAGGACTTTGATTTATAAAATAACTATATTGAGATTAATAATGGTCAACAGAAATTTGAGAAGAATATGTTACAGATACTTAAAATGAAAACATGGATGGAAGCTATAATGTATAAGAAATAGACTATTAAAAGAAAATATATTAATGGGCGTAATGAATCAATTTTTAGTAAGATGTTACATGGTATTACTTGAGAATAATTGATGACTATAAAAACTGGGATATTGTTTAAATACCTATAACAATTCCAATAATTTGAATATTTTCAACAACTTTAATATTTTAATATTTTTAATATTTTTGATAATATATCTATCTAAGCAAAAAAGAAAAGATTGAAATAATATAGGACTATGAATTACAAATAAGAACTACTTAAACTGGTTTTTATATAAATGGTTAAAGAGACAGAATTGTGGGAAATAATTGGAAAATTGTTTTGTAGTTTTATTTGAATTAAGAACTATGTTTCAGTGTTAAACTGCTATATTTTTGGAATTAGAGATAGGATTTAAATTTGGTGAAGGAAATAAAAATTTAATGAGCATTTTATGAAGTAATAATAAATGTGGGGAAGTTTTAGAAAGGGAAATAAGATTTTGAAATATAAACATGTTTGACTTGTATTGTTGAGGATTTAGGCTAAGAATTATGAAATGTATTATGAGGTATTAATTGAATTGAGATTTAAAGTGGATTAATAGAAGGGTAATTGTTTTGATTAAATAAATAAGAGTAAACTTTTTATAAGATGGTAATAGGGGAGATAGATGATTTAAGATTAGGTATTGTTAATAGTGAGGATTTAGGGTAAGAATTGTGAAATGTACTATGAGGTATTAATTGAATTAAGATTTAAGGAGGGTTAATAGAAGGGTAACTTTTGATTAAGTAAATTTGAGTAATTCTTTTTTTTAGGATGGTATTAGTTGAGATAGGTGATTTAAGATTAAGAAATAAGTGTTATGCAAAATAGAATACAGTATATAAAATCTTGTTAAAGATGATAAAAAATTGTATAAATTGATGACCGGATGAGGGCTCTGTTCTGAAAAGATGTAATTTGTGTGTTGGGAAAAATAAAAATAATTTTTTTTTTTGCAAAAAAAAAAAGATTATATACCTTAATTTGAAATAAATAATCATGTAGCTCTAAAGACAAATTGATATATGACATAATGGAGGAGTGTCACAACCTATGGGTGGGAGGGATCAGCCTAGAATCTCTATATAGCCACAAGCAAACTAAATCCGATGTCCCCTTTAATACTGTTGACCCTTATCTATCTCTTAGCAGATGCTAAATGTTAGTTAAATTTGCTTGTGGCTATTTAGAGATACTAGGCTAATCCATGTTTTAACTCTTCCCCAGGTTCTGCCACTCTTTGTCCTACATATAAGTTTGATAGGAGCTGTTATTGATTTTAACAGTTTTAAATTACTAGCTATGGGAGCGCGATGACTCACATGGTTAGGACGCTGGGTAAGCTCCTGTCACTCGCTCCTGCCAACCCAGCAATTTGAAAGTGCGCAACTGCAAGTAGATAGATGGGTATCATTTCAATGGGCAGCTTAACAGGGACACAAAAGGAACCCCAACTGCATGTCCCCTGGGCAATGGTAATAGATTAAGAACAATAATCTAATGAAGGGGGTGAGTGTACAATATTTGCCAAATCCAAATTAAGCATAATGTTCTAATGTAAAATACAAAATACATTAATTGATAAAAGTATTTTTTTAAACCTGAACAATATCAAAACTTGTTGCAATTGGAAAGTTTTAAAAAGTAATTAATGAAGCTCTACTGAATTGACTTTGATTCAAATCAGTTCTAGCATGTAGTTATAATTTAATTAATTTCTCTGTATCAAACCAGATTCAAAGTGGTGCCTTCTTTCCAATTTAAATTGATAACACTTGTTTTTTAAGCATATAATCGTAGTAGTCCTTGACTTACAGCCATTTGTGTTTAGTGATTGTTCAAATGGCACTGAAAAAAATGACTGACGACCGTTGCAGCATTCCCACAGTCACATGATTAGAATTGGAGCTCTTGGCAACGGACTCATATTTATTACGATTGCCGTGTCCTGGGGTCATGTGATCACCATTTGTAACCTGATAAAGTCAATGGGGAAGCCAGAGTCACTTAACTGTGTTTCTAGGTTAACAACTGCAGTGATTCACTTATCAAATGTGGCAAGAAAGGTCATAAAATGGGGCAAAACTCACTTATTAACCATCTTGCTTAGCAATTTTGGGCTCAATTGTGGTTGTAAGTCAAGGACTACCTGTACAAGATTAGCTGAATGAAATTTAATATAACAGATTTTCATTCTCAAATCTATATATTTGCCTTAAATGGTTGGGTGATTACTACAGTGTCTTTTTAATTCTTTAAATATGTTTCCATAGGTATCATTACTTGGATTAGAACTTCTAGGTGCCCTTGGTGAAAGACTATTAGGATGTTTCAGAACCTATGTAGGAACTGGTAAGTATTTTTTACATTTTTTCTGTAAAAAAAAATTGTACAAAAATAAGTTTTATCTTTTCCTCAATATTTTTTTAACTAGAGCTGTATATCACAAATTTATAATAATGGAAAAGGTATAGTAATAGATTTATATATAGAACACAGCTATTGCTGATTTATGACCACTTGTTGAACCACCAAATTTACAGTGATCTTGTTAAGGGTACTTTACAGCCTGAGTGTAAGGGCGCTTCTGATGACAATATACTGTTGCTACCAACAGACTATTACAACCACATGGCATCAGTATAGTATAGAAATCAACTAAAGCCTAAAGCTTAAGTAAATCAATAGACCCAGTAGCCCCAGAAGAAAAAACAGGAGTCATTTACAACGTACAATGTAAGGATTGAAACAGCCACTACATAGTACAAACAGGCAGAACACTAACAGAGCACATCCATGAATATCAACTAGTAACCAGAAGACATGATGAAAGCTCCTTAATTTTACAACACATGGCCGGATTTAACAATACTATACTATTATAATACTATTGGGAAGCTGTGACCATCCTAAACCAAGTCAAGTCCCAAAACACTAGAGAATTCCTAAAAGGCACCTTGACAGGTCAGCCAGGAACATAGACATAAACAACATCTATACATTATTCAAAAAAGACAATCAACAAGCCAAAAAATGGGGGGAAAGACCAGAGGGAAAAAAGACCAGAACACCTCCTGACCAGCAGTCAACAGATGAGCAGAGATTAACATCAATATTAACATTAGACCAACAATCAAGCAGCAAACAATACCGAATCAAGGAATTGCCAAACAAACAGTAAACAGCCCAACCAAAGAACCACCAAGACCACTCCCATTAACACTGACAGGGAAGGTCTATGACAATGTTGGTGAACCTTTTTGACACCGAGTGCCGAAATGGGAGAATGTAAACGGAGGGGGGGGAGCATAGGAAACCGGAAGAGCAGCTTCCTGGCGTGCATGTGCAGGAACACGGGAAACTGGAACAGCAGTTCCCTGGCCTGCATGCGCACCATCACCTGATCTTCCTGTTTCTGGCATGTATGTGCATGTGAAGACCAGCTGGCCAACGCGCATACATGCACCAGAAACTGGAAGCTTAGCTTCCTGGCGTGCACATGCAACCCAGAGAGCTGCTTTTCTGGCGCTCCTGTGCTGAGAAGACCAATTGGTCGGTGGACATGTTCGCGCCGGAACCCAGAAGAGCAATGGGTGATGGCTGGCATGCCTGGAGAGATGGCTTTGCATGCCACTTCCGGCACGCATGCCGTAGGTTAACCATCACAGGTCTATGGCATCTGTAACATCATCAGTGCTAGTAGGGAATGGGATTTCCTCTCATTTTATATTCTACTTTGGGCAATGAACATCTGCAAGAAAACAACCATGTTCAGAGAGCATCAAGGACTCCTAATTTAAATATGAGTTCAGTCATATATTAAATCAGGCCAGTTAGGATCCATTAAGTTTGGTTCAACTCAGTTGGCTGCATAAATAAAGGTTTATCAAATGTTTGCACTGTCCCCAGCAAAACCTCATAGGTTATCCAAGGATATTCTAGATTCTGTCCTTCCACTTCCCCATCTTCTATTTCTCAGAACCTTTCCAAACATATTTATTTTCTAGTCTGTCTTCTATGCCCCCTTTATCTGAGTTTCTTGTTTCTTAAGGTTGTTAATGGTGTCAAGGGTGTTTTATTTGGTTCTTCTTTTAGCCCACCTTTGCAATGGTCTCACTAAGCCTATTGGGCAATGTTGCATTTATGATTGTAATATTAAGGACTGAGACCTCACATTTTTATTTTCATATTGAACGCTGCTGAATCATCTTCTGGCTTGTAAAGTGGTTATTTTTGCTTTAAGAGTTGAAAAACAAATATATAATCAAATACAGATAGTCCTTGATTTATGATAACAATTGAGACAAGAATCTTCCGTTACTGAGTGAAGCAGTTATTTAATGAGATGCCATATAAGTACTTTTCTCAAAACCACAATCCTGGCATGCATGGTTGCAGTTGTAAGTGAGTTCCTGGGTCATAAAGTGGACAGAATGAAAGATCTGCCTTTCAGAGATACTTGACCCCATTGGGGGAGAGGGGAATTGCTCTGGCGGGTAGGCCTTTAGCTTTCAAGGAGTTGTCTGCTGAAAAGACTTGGTCGCATAAGGACAAAATCTCTGGCTGGCAACCTTTTCATTCTAGATTCTCTGATATGCGCATGTCCAAGATGGCGGCGCCCGCTGGGATCACGATCTGAGGATGGGGCGCCGACCTACCCTTTGGGTCCTTTGGGGGTCGTTTTGAAGATCCTCGACCCCAGGACCTGTAAGGGGAGCTCCCGGCCAGCACGGAGAGGGTTTTCTTTCCCTCCGTGACTGAGCCGAGGGGAAGGGGCGAAGCGTGGAGCGCCAGGCTGATCAGCTGGGCGTCGGCAGCGTCGGCAGCGTTTTTTCACAGCCGGAGCCATCAATTAGTTGGAGCGGCGCTGTGCCGGGGGGCGCCCGCCGCGCGGCAAGTTTCGAAGCCCGGGGGGGTTGCCCGAAGTGCTACATGATGTGTCGGGCACCCCCTGAAGACCTCTGGGACGTCGCCAGGCTCTTTGGGGGCTGGCAACGATCGCGCGGTGGTGGCGGCAATGGCGGTTGCTGTGGAGGCTAGCTGGCGGTCAGACGGCGCTGGGGACCCCCCCCTTTGAAGTAGGAGCTGGGGGGGGCAACAAACCAACAGGTCTGGGAGACCTGAAACCACGGTTGGGCGGAAAAGACCCGGAGCGATTTTCTGGGCCTCGGGAGGCCTCAATTTGTGGTTGTGCGGGGGGCGGGGGGGCTTGAGAAAGCCGCCCCATTTCTGCCCCATTTCTCTCTCCTCCAGCGTTCCCTTTTAGAACTGGGCCCACCTGGACCAACTGTCAGCCTGTGGGACTCATTGGCGCTATGCCCTATTATTATTACTATTCTGAATCCCCCTGACTCTGGAGAGGGCTATTTCCATCTGAACGGGAGACCGGTACATGGCTGCATCCCATCGGCTGAGGGGGCTAGACATTTGCCTGACCACCGTGAGAGGGTGGCCAGGTGTCAGAGCCCCTGGGGGCTGAACCGGGACGCTTTCTACATATATGCACTTTACCAGATTTCTACACATATGCACTTTACCAGCGAGGGGACTTTACCAGCGAGGGGACTTTACCATCGGTCTTTACCACCGGACAAAACGCCGTGAGAGGGCGATTTTTGGACCTGACCCCTGGACGCTGTCTATATGCATCGGTTCATTGCTGCCACCCCACCACAAGAGGGGGTTGTCCAGCTGACCTAACCACCGTGAGAGGGTGGTTAGATCTATTTCCCCCTTGGAACTGTGGTCGTCCTGGCTTTGGACTATGTCCTCTGTTGTGAGGGGACAGGGGACTCGGTCCTGCAAATATGTCTCTGAGATCCCCCATTCCTTTGTCTTCTCCTCGGTCCTTTATATACACCCTCAGGATATGGTCGTGTTACCCATTATGATTAATGTACTCAGCAGCGGAGCTTCTTGGTTTGCGAGACTCCCCCCTCTCGCAGGCTTGGCCCTCCATTCTATCGAGGGCCTACCTCGATGACGGGCTCTGGAGTCCCGAGAGGTGGCATGCCGCAAAGAGGGGGCTGCGGGGTTTTTTAAAATTGTCCTTGTTTAAACTTTTAAGGGGTTCTGGGAGGGGGAGGGGGGTGGGGGGTGGGATTGGAATTAGGATTGTGGGTTTGGGGGATAACCCACTAGGGGGAGAGTCGGGCTTGGCCAGGACGTTCAGCGGGGGTGGTGGGGGATCTGGAGGGGGTCGAGCTGGTCCAGACTATGCTTTTACCATCGGTACTGTGTGTGGGAGGGGTAGATATGGCGGGAGCAGGGGGCCATATGTTAAGGGAGCACGCACCCGCTGTCTTCAAGCGGTAGAGTGCTCCGGCCCCCAAGGCTCCACCCGTTCTCCAGGTAGTACAGACCTTCAGGGCCCGGGCCTTCGTCTGATGTTGTGCAACGCCAGGTCTGTAGTAAATAAAGCCCCCCTCATCTGTGATCTTGTTTACGAGGGGGGAGCGGACCTGGCGGGTATTACGGAGACCTGGTTGGGCCCAGAGGGAGGGGTCCCTCTGGTAGAAATGTGCCCACCAGGTTTCCATGCATTCCATCAGCCAAGGTCACAGGGGAGGGGCGGGGGAGTAGCGGTTATTATTAGAGAAGGCCTTAAGTCGAGGGAGACCACTGTACCTCAGACAGCTGGTTGTGAGTCCCTCCTTGTGAAGTGGGGCCACGGGGTTCAGATGGGTTTGCTGATCATGTACCTGGCTCCCTGCCACGTGGCGGCAGCCCTGCCCGAGCTACTCAACGTTATTGCCACGGTGGCGGTTGATACCCCCAGACTTATGGTCATGGGGGATTTCAACCTGCCATCCGTGGGTGAGGCGTCTGAGGTGGCTCGGGAGTTCATGGCTTCCATGACGGCCATGGACCTGATCCAACTAATTCGTGGTCCTACGCACACTGGGGGAAACACACTGGACTTGGTTTTTGTCTCTGGACAGTGGTTGAGTGATCTCGAGATAGGGGATATAGTCATCGAGCCCTTGTCATGGTCAGATCACTCGCTCCTTCGCCTTGACCTTCGAACCGCAGCACCCCGCCGCAGGGAGGCGGAACCGGTAAGATGGTACCGCCCCAGGCGCCTGATGGAACCTGATAGGTTCCAGATGGAGCTTGGGCCAATCCCGGAGGTTCTGGCTCATGCCTCATCTGGGGAACTAGTGGCCGCCTGGGATAGGGCGGCTGCTGGAGCCCTGGATCGAGTCGTGCCTTTGCGGCCTCTGACCCGGCGCCGATCTCGCCTGGCTCCTTGGTTCACCGAGGAGCTGAGGGAGATGAAGCGCCGGAAAAGACGCCTAGAGAGCTGTTGGAGGGCTAGTCTTTCTGAATCTGACCAAACACTGGTAAGATCT